AGCTCTTGTTCTACTGCTAGCAAAAAGAAATTTTTCTTCTATCTTATTTTATCCTTAGGGGCTATAATATTATACCAAGGGCAATGCAAAGTTTCTAAATGAGGCTTTGATAACAGAGGTCACACGTGGGTAGACCCACCACAAGGTTATATGAAGAGGCACAATGTAAAGTCATATGAAAATTATCAGAGATTTATCTACACTACCAGACCCAAGGGACCCCTGTAACCCCATATGCCCCCCTGGGCCCTTGGCCAGTTGCCATCGGGAGGCTGCTGGGTCAGCATCCTTCTCCCCCACCAGGACCCGGCCCGGGAGATCCGCAGGGTCATGGACTTCTTGGAGGTGGAGCTGCCCCCGCAGGTGCTGGAAAAAATTGTCCAGCAAACGTCCTTCCAGATCATGAAGGAGAACCCCATGGCCAACTACAGCAGTATCCCCAGCACCATCCTCGACCAGACCGTCAGCCCCTTCATGCGCAAGGGTGAGCGGGGGGAAAGGGGACCTGGGGGTTGTGGGGAACCTGCCCCCACCCCCACTGGCTTTGTCTGGAAAGTTCCCTGTAGCCCGTTGGTACAGGGCCTGGGCAACTTGAGCAAGGTACTGTGGGTAATGCCTGCTTGGTCTGAAGCCATGCCTCATTACCCATAGTCCCTTGCAGGGGGTCATGCTCACTTGGCATTAGCTCCCCATAATGTCACAGGCGGGGGGCGGGGCGGGGGGGTCGTGTCCTTGCGGCTCTTCCCAGGGATTCTGGGTAAGTCCTGTTGGGCTGGGTCCCCATGGCGTTCTTCCCGGCGGTCCTGTCCTGGGGCCCAGTCGGCTGCAGAGCAGGGTATGGATGCGGGGGGGCTCCCTGGAGCTGGGGTCCCCTGCCTGGGGGTGGAAGGCACTTCCTGGGGAAGGGGCGGCTGTTGCTGGGGGGTGGGTCTCACCACTAATACCCCCCTCTCCTCCCCAGGCCAGGTTGGCGACTGGAAAAACCATTTCACCGTGGCGCAGAGCGAGGCGTTCGACGCCCATTACCAGCGCCGCATGGAGGGGACCGGCCTGCACTTCCGGACCCAGATCTAGGCCCCACCCCGCGGGTGCGGACAGGCCCACAGGAACAGTGCTGCAATAAAAGTTTACCTCCTGACCATGGACATTGTGATACCTGGGAGGGGGTGTCATGGGGGAGGGGTGGGGGCTGGTGCTGCAGGAAACTTCCCCTTCAGCCCGAGACAGGATGTCCCACCCTGGCCCCGATGGCGCCCCCCCTCCAAGTGTCCATCCCCCCTCCCCCCCGGGGCACAGGTGCTGCTGGGAGCGTGAGTCGCACCGCAGAGCTCACACGCCAGGAAGGGAAGTCCAGGACACACTGTGGGGGTGGGGTCAGTGTACACACAGATCGATATGGGGGTGGGGGGGCCGAGCTGCATTTCCTCCATGGTGCTGTGTAAACAGCAGGGAACTCAAGCTTGTTCTCTGTGAGCCAGGGAAAGGGAAAAGGGGCTTGGCTGGGAGGCCCTGCCAGCCCCACAGGAAAAGAGGGCGACTCTGGGGGGACAGATTCCATGGGGCTGGGGGGTCTCCGCAGCCCCCTCGTCCCCACACCCGCTAGCAAGCAAGGAGTGTCACCCTTTGGCCTGAGCAGCTAGCCCCAAATCCAGCAGCTTGTCCCCGTTCGGAGCAGAACTCGGCGGCCGTCGGGGAGTTCTTTGATGCAGTTTTGTTGATTTAAAGACTGGACAAAGTCCTGTGTCGCGGAACGCAGAGTGACGCAAATCGCAGGAAGCGTGGGGAGTGGTGGGGGGTGTGTTTGCTCAGAGCACCAAGACCGCTCTTCTCAGCCTGCACCCCACCGAAAAGCCTCTCCGCCTCTTTCTTCCAGGGGCAGACACCGCGCTGCCGGCCGCTCCTCCACGCTGGCTCTGACTCTCGCAGGCCTGGTCTACACTAGGACTTTACTCCGGCCTAGCAACAGCCCTCAGAGGTGTGAAAATCGACACCCTTGAGCGCCCGTTATACCAACCTCACCCCCAGCGTAGACAGCGCTAGGTCGAGGGACGAAGTCTCCAATCGACCTGGCTACGGCCTCTCGGGGAGGTGGATACCGACGCCGATGGGCCAAGTCCTGGCGCACGCTGCGTCTTCACTGACGCGCTGGTTAGATGAGCCCCCAGCCCTTGAGTTGTGGGTCTGTTCTGGCTTCCCACAGCCACAGGCGCCCCCGACCCAAAACCATCCTCGGCACCACTCGGGCAGGCTGCCTTCGCCTGTGTCCTGGCCTGGCAGCCACCAACCGAAGGGTGAGTTCGCACCTGTCAATCTCAATAAGAATTGAAATCAACCCCTAAGGTGGTTTCACCCAACTGCAGTACTACCCCACAGTGAAACGGACTAGCCACCCCCTGGGAAAGCCCCCCCCATCCTGACACCCTTACGCAGGTCTGTAACTCCCCCCCCATCCTGACCCCCTTACGCAGGTCTGTAATCCCCCCCCCATCCTGACACCCTTACGCAGGTCTATAACTCCCCCCCCCATCCTGCCACCCTTACGCAGGTCTGTAACTCCCCCCCCATCCCGACCCCCTTACGCAGGTCTGTAATTCCCCTCCCCCCGACTTCAGAGTGACGAAAGTGTCCAAGGGGATAGTCGGGTGTTCAGAATGAAGCACGTCCTTAAGCAGTTGCACCATCAAGGGCTGAAATTGCATTACTGCTCCAGACGGCTCTCGCTGGCCTAAACTACAGCCGGGCTTTATGCTGCAGCTCATCGGGGAGATGTTGGTGGCTAGTTCACACTGGAATAATTCTGGGCAGTTCTCTGGCCTGCGCTATACAGACTAGACGCCAGGGGTCCCTTCTGGTCTTGGCAATCTCTGACTGAAACCCGGGCGCTTGTCCTTTGCAGCGGCGTTCAGCCTTGTAAGTGTGAAACTTCTTAGCAGAAACATCTCCAAGTAAAATCTACAGACCTGCTCACCTCTAGAAACCCGGTTAAAGCAGCTAGGACCAGACACTACCGCCACTTCGGCAATTTCACACCGTCAATGGGAAGAAACAAATAAAACGTTCAGACAATTCTGTGCAGTTACAATTGTTACCCAGCCCGGACTCAGCTGAGGAGCTCTAGAAACTGCACCAGCTGGGGGGGGCCGTGGAGCAGCATTGGCACCACACCGAGAACTGGGCCAGGCCGGGGCCGAGTGCCAGCGGGGATCCAGCGAATCGCGTGTGCGTCGGCTGGGGCAATACAAACAGCACAAATCAGTCAGGACTCTAGTGCAGACAAGGCCTTACAGCAGCCTGCCTGGGGCCGCGTGTTGTCATCGACATTATCGATTCCCAGCCAATGGGAGCTGCGGAGCCGTCGCTCGGGGCGGGGGCATTGCACGGAGCCTCCCTGGCAGCCCCTGCACCTAGGAGCCGGAGGGACGTGTCACCGCTTCCGAGAGCTGCACGGAGCCGGGACGGGAGCCTGCCAGCCCCGCGCCGACCCGACTTTTAATGGCCCAGTCAGCAGTGCAGGGGGTGGGGCCAGCACAGAGCAGGGGGTGGGG